TTCGCGGCTCGAGACGGCCATCCGTGTCCTCGACATCGTCGCAGCAGGGACTCGGGCTACTGCAGCAGGTTGGCTCCAGCATGGTAAGACAACTACCCCCCATCTGCCTGAACCTGAACGGACCACCAACACTCTCTCCATCACTCCAGCTACCGGGACAGCATTCCCACTGACCCTCCGTTACAGTGTAAGGATATTCACTAAGCCTTAGCTCGGTTCGCGCCTATCGCTCTCTCTCTCCGATTTGATCACTTCCCATGCACCTTGTCCTTAGATTAGATTCTCTCTCTCTCTCTTTCTCTTTCTCTCTTTCTGCTATCGATTAATTCGGAGAGACCGTCGCGAAGGCGCGATATCGAAATATTGATCGGAGCGGTCCTCTGCTGGGGTTGAGATACAATGAAACAGGATAATTTCGAAAAGGGCTTGTTCCTAAGAACATCACGCGCTTCTTCTGGTACAAAAATATTTAATAATATATTATCCAAGATATATCGATAAAAATTATGTAATAACGTCCTTTCTAAAGTTACTAAATTATTTTATTAAAAGTGTAAATTATTTTTTTAACACGGATATCACGAGAGACAGGATGGATATCTTCTCGAGAAAGATTCGGTTTTACAACGGCCAAAGAGGATATAAATTCAGAGATATTATATTACATATAACCTAGGAACTTTTCTAAATGAATCTCCTGTATGTTGAAAGAAATCCCACCAAGATTCGCACTTTTCCAAGATCGATCGTTAATGCGGTTCCTCTTTATTATCGTAACAAACGTCTCGCGTACACTTCTCGAGAAACGGTGAAGCGTAAAAGACGACTCCTTCTTTCCCGTGTTGCAGTATCAATTCTTCAATAGACAACCCGAAGCGTGAAGCGCCAACGATTGTCGCTGAACGAAGCTCGGACAAGATCACGGTAGTTGTGGAGTCTCTAACTAACGCACACCGATTCCCTTGCACGCTCGGTCAATCGTAAAGAATAAAACAAGGAGGAGGTGATAATGAATCATATGGAGGCTCTCGTCCAAGGCAACAAGATGCGACGCTGATTCTTTCTTAATTGGCCTCGGGATCCCGAGAAGACGCGAAGATCTCTCTTCGGGAATTGACGATTCGATCTACGCCCCCCAGGAATAGATCGCGAGTTGGAGGGAAATGGAAAGCGGCACTCGCTGCGGATTATTCTGACCAGATCAGGGTACCTATCATGAAACAAAATCGGAATGGATTCCGATCGGAATTATTCAATTATTCCCTAGATTTCTATTGTGTTTTCTGAGGAAAACGGAATAATTTCGATCGGAATCCATCCCGACTTTGTTCCATGATATGTACCCTGGACCGAGCGAATGCGAATGAAAATGCGAACATGCGACTGGCCTCGGTGAGTACTTCCATTTGCGCTTGTCGAGACGAGATGCTCGATCCCCAAGTAGAATACAAGTCATTATGACGTCACAAATTCCTCATCCTAAAATTCTATAACTTTTTCTTAATTTCCAGACAAAATTTCATGATTTCACTGAAAAAAGAAAGTGTTTAATTTTAAAATATTAAAATGTTTTGTTCTTGTTTTGTTCTCCGTTTTTTAAACATTTATGGCCGGTTGTTCCATTTTTAGATAAACTATGAGGTAATTTACTTATTGGATAAACAAAAAAGTAAAAGAGTAAGGATATATAGAAGAGAGTGAGCTGAAATTTACCGGAAGGTGGAACAACTCAGCCTTGAAGTTGTTTTAGTTTTAAATTTTTTCAATAAACAAAACACTGCGTGTTCTGATTGAAAACACTATGTATTTTAAATCCAAACACATATAGTGTTTTGTTTATGGAAAAAATTTAAAACATCTTTAAGTGTTTAAGAATTGGAGACAAATAATATCTTTCTCTAAAATTAAACACTTCTTTTTTCAGTGTTTCCCTGACAATAATATTTTAAAACTTTTTGTATTTTTATTCTGATTTGGTAACTGTCAAATATTTTGTTGAGAGATCAATTTGACATAGCAATGTAAATTACTATTAATGTTGCTGATACTGCTTGCATTTTTAACTTAAATCGATAAAATTGCATACGTGTGATGTACGTATTTAAACCTCTTTAAAGTCGAAAATTTTGCAAAATTTACTGATTTTTTCCTGACTATTTTCAATTTCTCTGACAATTCTCTTGTTTCCAGTTTTGTGGCAAAATGATCAAAATAACATCAAAATGATTTCAAAATGATTATTAAAGGTCACTTTTTAATCGATAACGATTCATTTTAATGTCTTTTTGATATTATCGTGACTCGTTCTACTTAGGTCGCGTTCATTCGCGCTGGCTCGTCAGATCCGACTTAACGCGTGTACAATCTGACCTAATAATATATACATATACTTACATATAGTTATACACACAATATACTCTTCGCGGCTGACAGGATCGCGATTTGATAGCCGCAAATTAGCCCGGGAAAACCCCTCCTCTCCCCTCCCAAATCGGGCTAATAATCGCACCGCGTGTATCTCCGTTATATCACCCTCGTCACCACGTAGTGGTGACGAAGGGTTCAGGGATAGATCATTTGGCAGTTCTTGTACAACAGACGTGAACACTCGGGGTACATCAGAAGACGTCGACCGATTCCTTAGAATGGATGATCACGAATGCATCAAAATGAGATTAATTCCTATTTCCTCGTATCGATTATCTATCAGTATAATTCGAATTATTACATTCTATCTTTTCCTTTTTATGTCTTAATGATTAGGAATAAAATCGCGTTTAACGCTCAATGTGACCGTCCGATTTTGAACTTCACTTATCTGAATCAGCGATCGTTCGCTGTAAAGCTCGAGAACATCCGAGTTCCGATTTTCGACAGTCAAACCGAAGAAATTCGGAGAGTCGCGACTTCTGATTTATCTCGTATATCAAGGAGGCACGTCGTAAGAATAAGTACACGTGTATACTCACAGAACAAGAAAAAGCAAAGTAATATACATATATAAATATATACATCTCTCTTAGCCATGTACGAACAAAGAATGAATATTTTTCTCGTCGATATATATATTTGTCTATGTAATAATCTATAAATATGTATATCGTAATAACGGCATGAGCAGCACATGTCTGGCACTGTGTCTAGTCATGCCGTCAGTCGTCAATTGTCGCACTACACAATCACTAAATCTTAAGGTAGCTTTTGTAACTCAGGCGACGTCGCTGTGAGAAGACGGGGTAATTCACACTTCCCAGATAGACGTATACATACGCAAACTTATACGTGCAATCGTTCGAGTTTCCTCGCGGAGCACGATGAGGTATTGTCGTTTGAATTGGCGCGCAAATAATTATATCGATAAAAGAAGGACTGATGAATTATTCGATGTATTTCATCCGTCTGTTCGCATAATTGACTGCACACCGATTACATTTTCTACTTAAGAAATATACATTTCCTGCTCTACAAAATATATTTCTCGATACAATCTATGACGTAACAGAGAGGAGTAAATGGAATATATTTAACAATTCATAGAATTATTCATTAAAAGATTCGTTTTTAAAGATTCTTATTAAGGATCAAATCTTGATGATGCAAACAAGCGACAAGATTGTTTCAACGATAGTGGAAATATTTATGAAAATAATTATGAAAATAATCAGATTTTAAAATATGCGATTTAGTCGCGGGATCATTTATTAATTAATCGCAAATTATTATAATTAAAAACATAATTACGATCAAATGAGGCCAAACGGAAGAAATCGAATGTTCGCGATTTATAAAAAAAGAAATAACAAAATAAATCCAAAACTCACGAAGAAGTCGCGAATTGCAAAAAGAAGTTACAGAATAATTAATTAATTAATTTTTTGAGGGAGAAAGAAAAACAGAGAAACAAAATATTCGATTCAATACAAATATTTGAAGGAACATCAATACGTATCGTTACGATCTCGATTTATTCATTTTTTACATATTCCTGATATGGACTGATATCAACTGATATGCTCGATATGTAAATGGCGTATAAGAAAATGGCTTATAAAAAATTTCCAGTTAAAGCAGATCCATCCAAATAGAATACACAAAAGTCGTAATAATATTATAAGAACATTCTCATGAACTTACATCCCGAGAAAAAATGTTATATATATATGGACATATTTTATATATAATACAATTATACGTATATAATTGTATAATATAAAATATGTCAGTTTTTTATATAATTATATCTAATTTTATATAATTTTATATAATTATATGTGAAATATTTTTTACTGGGTTGTCACTTATAATTAGTTCATTTTCAAGTATTAATCGTCCTGATAACGTCCTATGAAAATGAGAATCATAATTAATTATGATCTATCACAGGACGTCATTATAATGTCATTTGCCATTTAAGGAAATGCTGAAGCGACGAACTTGATCGATGTCGATAAAACGTATTCTCAAGCCTGTTTTACAATGTGCTTTTTGTATCCTACACTGAAAAAAATGCATGTAATTTTACATGGAAATTACATGTTCATGACTGAAAAATTGCCTAAATATGATTGGAAATTTACAATTTCCAGTAAATTTCCAAGCATATTTATGTAATTTAGATAATTTTCCAGTCATATACATGTAATTTCCATGTAAAATTATATGCATTTTTTTCAGTGTGTGTAGCTTAATTTTGTCTTTTATCCCGTTTTCTGTTTTCACCCGAGATAAAAATTAACAAACTTTGAAAGAAACAAAAAACGCGGCAAGAAATACAATCTCAGACTTTAATTCTAAATAAAACATGTATATTTCTTGCTCTATATCCTACGTACTGCATGGATATTAGATTAGACTCAGACGTACTTTTCCATTCATTTCTCTTGTAAGCTTTAAAATCATAAATGGAGGTCTTATTATATATTCTTATTTTATTATAAATTATTCAAATAATGGAGAAACTACTTTTTGTTTAAACTTATTGTTTTATTATATACTTGGAATCATTTAAGTTTGTTCGCGTCGCATGCTCTACCTACTCCGATATACTCCTACTCCAACGCGTTGCAAAACGTGTTCGTAGAGTGAGTAGAAACTATGATAGGAACATGGAGCATGCGACGCAAAAAATCTTTATGTATATGTGAAGAAATAACCCACGTGATAATAGGAAACTGTAATGTACATTTTTTGTTTTTCATACAAAAGTGTGTTTTCCTACAACTATTTGCGTTTTTTCTTTTATTCTAGAAGATATTTATTATTATACATATATAAAAAAACAAAGAAAATAGAAAAGTACGAAATATTTTGTTGGTATGCAAATGATTTGAGCATCTCCTTAACCTTTAGAATGCCGGGGAAGCTACTTTTGTGGCTTTTAAGTGTGGGTTAAAATACCATTTTTGGTGGCATTTTAAATACTAATTGTATTAAACATATATATGTGTATGTTGCCCAAAAAATATATATATAGATATATAAGTATTGAAAAATATACAAAAAAAGTAAAAATATAAAAAAGTAAAAAAAAATATAAAACAAGAAAAAAGTAAAAAAGATACAAAAAAATTTAAGAACCAAACAAAAAAGAAAAGTCAAAAAGGAGCTATAAACTTTTTACGTCTATGTCGTTAACTCTGGGTAATGTTAAAGGAAAGTTCTCTGCATGAGTCTATACGTTTATATTCATTTATGTTGTCAATATTACGTTTAGGGTTCGAAATTTCCTAAATCTATGCTCAGAATTGGAATCAGTGACCTAAAATACACTATTCTTGAGAAAATAAAAATTTTTTTTATTTGATCGTACGTTCCTTACCGGGAAAGCCACTTTTATGGCTCTGCACAAATCTCGATACTCTGTGCCATGAGTATGTTACTTACGTAAAAAA